TTCCTTCCTTCCTTCCTTCCTTCCTTCCTTCCTTCCTTCCTTCCTTCCAAGAAATAGAAATCTGTTTTGACATCTGGCAAATTTCAAATTTAGTAACATTAAATTCATTGCCTTGTCAGCTACCACATGTTTGTCATAAGCCTCATTAAATCTTGATAGCCCCAGCTCAGTTCCTGGCCATCAGTTGGAATAGCTGTATGAGGTTCAATTATTTCCAAACGTTTAATCCCATGTGATACTTTCTTTTACAACATTGAGATTTGATTTTTTTAAAAAAAGCCTCCTTATCTTCCATAAAAATGAGATGAAGAATATTATTATGGCAGAAATATTTGGTGAAGGACAAAGACCAAATTGAAGTTACAGTGGTCTACAGAAAAAACATGCCTGGGTCAACTGGCTTATCATGTTTCTACAAACCAACAGGGATTTGACAGAAACATCAGCATTTTAGGATTCAGACTCCACTTTTGCAAAAATCATAAGTTTCTAGTAAACATAGGTATTCACAGTATGACTTTAGGAAGGTCCTCTACCACTAGATCAACCAGATCATCCTAAAATTGTCATGAACTTGTGAGCTTCTCTTGACAAAACAATTCATCTTCAGGCTATATGCAAGGTCTTAGTTGGTTTCACAAGTTTTACTCTATCAGGTAATCGGCTTTCTTCTAACGAATATTGAGCAAGTTGTCATATTTTGCTCATTTAAAATTCAAATGCCATCAGCAGAGGTCAGAGCAGAAATATACTGAGGTGTTTTTATTAGGAACAAAACATTGGCCTCTAAACAGGGACTCTGTTGATTGAATAACTAGGGCTCAACTAAAATTAATCTTATGATGCTAATTTGTCTATTATTTTTTTTATTTCTATCACACACAGAGCCTGTCAGCACCTATTAGTGTTATAATCAAATTTGAACCATAGTTTATATATTTTTAAAGAGAAAAATTCTTCTAGCATGCTTGGGTACAACCCAAGATCTTTTCATTAAGCAGAGGGTAAATTTACTGAAGTATTTTGTATGAGTTATCCTGAACAAGTATTATAAGATAGTTAGCCATTGGTTTAGTGCACATATAGTACTAAGCTAACATTCTTTGGTTTGGGCTTAAGCTATGCGCCTACTTGCACATAACCAGAGCCTAGTAATTCCTTGGCAATTTCCTCTTTTGTACCCCCAACTTTGCTTTTTTCTTGTCACCGGCATGTGAGACAGGCCCTACTCCAGGTGTCTCCGTCAAAGGAGCTGAGGTGGATCTTTATAAGCGAAAGACCTTTTCTGTTTCCCATTTGTGGAACTGCCTTCCCGGAGAGACTCAACTGGCATCCATATTAATATCTTTTTCATGCCAGTGAAGATCATTCTATTTTCTGAGGCTTTTAAATTGGCTTTTAATTGTAGACAGTAATCCTAATTCAAAGTCCTCTCCCCCAAGCACTGCAGTCAGGAATTTAGGTTTGTTTGTGATCCTGTTTTTCCCCAGTTTATTCCATTTGTGTTTTGATAGAATGGGGACAAAATTGCCTAGAGATTATTATTGCTATTGTTTTTTAAATTTATATGCTGCCTGACTCCCAGTGACTCTGGGCGGCTTACAATCATTAAAACATTTAAAAACAACAAAGAATAGGGAAAACCCCACAAAAACAGCACAAGACAGAAGAAGGACAATAGCAAACAAAATCTTGATGTCTGAGTTGTGGTATCAGTTCCACCCCATTCTCCATGATTGTTGACTGGTGATATGCTGAAGAGGAAGGACAGCAAACCAGAGGTTTCAATCTATCACTTTGCCTATTATGTATAGCATGTGCATAATCAGGACAACACTATTTGGCAATGAGTTATAGTAGATGCAACTGAGTCAGGATTGAGACTGGAAAGGAGGACAGCTTTATGCAGCTTGGAATCACTTTACAAAGATCAGAATTGTGCAAGCCATGATATTCTCTGTGATATTCTATGGAAGCAAATGTTGGATTTTGAAGAAGCAGGAATGGAACAGTACTGATGCTTTTGAACTTTGATGTTGGAGAGGACTCCTGAGAATACCGTGGACAGCCAAAAAACCCAAATCAATGGATCATCGAACAAATCAACCCAGAGTTCTCACTTGAGGCACAAATGACCAGCCTCAAATTGTCCTACTTTGGGCACATTATGCAAAGGCCCAGCTCTCTGAAAAAGGTTCTAATGCTGGGAAAAGTGGAAGGAAAGAGAAGAAGAGGACAACCAGCAGCAAGGTGGATGGACTCAGTTACAGTGGCAATGTTGAAAGACCAGGTTAGGGACAGATCATCATGGAGAAAATCCATCTGTTGCTAAGAGCTGAAAATGACTTGATGGCACATAATCAATTTATCTATCTATCAATCAACCACTTTACAACAGAGTTTCTCTAAATTGGGATCAATCAATACAATCTTGATATTTATCCAGAATCTTACATATTTATCTGTTTTCCCCTGGAGATCCTTTTTAAATTGCTGTGTTTTGAGCAGGTATTTTGAGCAGGTCTATATTTTTTAATCTGTTCTTGCCACTGTATGTTTTATATGTGATTACTGTATTTAAAGTCGAAAAGGAATTTTACATTCTCCTTTCCTTTTTTTAAAAAAATATTATTTATACCTTCTGAAAGTTATCTGTCTCCAAGGGAGGGGAAGGGTGATTTCCCTAGCCATACTACAGACCTAGAAGGTCGTACTGTAGAATTGATTTCATTTTTATCATCCTGGAATTTGTCAGTAAAGCCTTAGGCCAGTATTGTCCAAACTTGGCCACTTTAAGATGAGTGGACTTCAACTCCCAGAATACCTGGGATTACCATGGCTGGCTGGGGTATTCTGGGAGTTGAAGTCCACTCATCTTAAAGTGGCCAAGTTTGGACAACACTGCCTTAGGCTGTGGGGTTCCTAGCGCTGTCACATGCCAGGGTTAAGGGAGGATGACACCAGGTAAAGGTATCCCCTTGTATGGCACTTTTATTTCCCAAGTTTCAATAAAATGCCAATAAGAAGACTTGAGATGA